CTTACGAAAACAATAACAATATCATTTGGCTTTTGACACGTCTTGAAAAACGTATCAATCAAATGGAACAGAATAGAAACCAAATGATTTTTGCAAGCAACACTTTACCACAAAACAATGCTTTTGATAATGGTAATAAAATCAGTAATGATGATATTTATAATATTTTGGGAAAACTTTTTACTCGTATAGAACAGTTAGAAACTTCTCAAATCAACGTTGAACGAAATCTTGCCGAGTTGAACAAATTTTATTTTAATCAAAATTTATCATTTTCAAAACAATAAAATATTCAAATACAATATTTCTTTCTTTCCTGTTCTTATTCATTCACTCAAACAAACAATTGTTCACAACACAACACTATTTGGGATGTAATTGTTTTTTGTGTCAATTCTTAATAATCATTCTGGTCTTGGAGCAATTCTTGTTAAAAAATCAAATTTAAGTTAAACACGTAGTAAATATTTGTAAAATACATTTTCTAGTTATAGTAAAGATATTTTTATTAATGTTCTACTTCTATAATTATTCAACGGTCTGCAAAATAATGATTTTATAAATAAAAAAATAATATTAAATTTCAAATTGGCTCGAGCTCGGCTCGTTCGGAGCTTTAGAAATAATAATTTACCTAAAAATCCTATAATTAATTAATAATCATCACTTTTACAAAATAAATAGCAGTTCATGCAATAATATCAGCTTCAATAAATCTTTTAAACATCTAATTTTAACCCATCATCTAGCTTACTGGTGTATAAGAAATAATAGTAGATATTATAGTGTAAAAAATTTCTTGGTGAAATTTAAATAAATACAATATAGAAAATTTTGAACGCGAATAAATCATTAAATCTAACATTAATTTAACAAAAATTTTTCGAATGCTGTGTTAAATCTATAGTAAGATACCAAAAATTTTCCTTTTAAAAAAAGCAACGTTGTAATGCCAAATTATATTTAAGAATGTGTGGAATTTAACATTTCTAAAATGTAACAGGAAATTAAAATTTTAAAAATTTATATTATAGATATCTTGCTTGACTCATGGAGGCTTTTAGGTGCCATTTTAGTTTATTGTTGATTCCCCTCGTTGAGCTATAAATGTGGTCAGGCCTTATATCAAACCGCAGTTTTTGCTATTCTTTTTTTTAGGAAATTTTTTGGAATTAAAAATTGACATGTCTTATTTTCTGATTAATCCACATTTAAGTGGAACTATTAGGGAGCCTAATTTTAACACAAATTTTACATGAAACTTTATTTGCAAACAAGCTGGTTGAAATTAACTTGAAAGATTCCCGAAGCCTTATATTTATCTGAAGAATTCCGTCAATCCATATATATAATTTTCATGCTCTCAATGTCAGCTCCAAGGGGTGAGAGAGATCTTTTCTTGATGTAGTTTTGGCTTATTTGTTGAATCGTCCGAGTTATTATTTGGATAGGGCTCGCCAAACAAAAGTTGAGATTTAAGCAGGCCTTTTAAAAAAAGGAACCTGAATGCAATTTCAAAACCCGCCCTCATGAATTTCTGATTGCATCATAATCTTTGAGCCTCAGGAGACGATTTAACAAAGAAATCTTGTAAACAATATGCTTGGTTTAGTGCATTTACATTTGATGTAATATAATAGGAGAAGGCATTTAATTATCATAATTCTGAATTAATGGTGGTTATTAGTTATTGGAAAAAGTAGTACAATTATGTGTGACTAGCTGGCATTTTTGGAATCAGGAAACCCTTGTAGATTCTCATTATGCCAAACTTCATTAGATATACAAAGCATTTCTAGTGAAGATGATATTGTAAATACCTTGCAGGCCAAACTAATTTATCTCAAGAGCAACAATACGAATCATCAAATGTAATTATCATTAACTAAACAAATGCTCAATCAGAATAGAAATTTTTTAGAGTTCATTTTAGCCGTATTGTAAATATTTTTAATATGGTGCGCCGCATCTAAAGACATCAAAAAAAATTGCAAATCTTTAAACCCTGATAACTTTGGAAATATTTGTTGGCCCATAAAAAACTCTCTATTTTTGCAATCTTTGGAACATAAACAACAATGTAATAGAGAGATTTTTTAAAGTAATTAGTAAAATAAAAGGTTATGTGGATTTTAAAATTACTAATTTAGAAAATCGGCACGCCTATCAAACTAATCCGACCAATCAGAAAACTAATATAATCAACTTTTATCACGTGATGAATCTAACAATGTTTTCTTAATCATTCAACATTCAATGATAATACCACCTACATCCATTAACATAAAATCTGGCAATTTTCTATGATATTTATAAATTTTTTGCTGCAAATATTACAGCTTTTCCTGACAGTCCTAATCTATAAGCACTCATGAATCTATAACATCTTCTAACAAACTTTCCAATTTTACAAAGTGAAACCGAGTTCAATGCCAGAGGAACAGTTCTCTCTAATTCTTTAAATAATTAATTACAATTTTTTCTAGTGTATTCTTTAGTTACTTCCCAAAAACTTTCTATATAATTTAATTCACAATGATATTTCGGATAAAAGTATCTGGATGATTTCTTAATCAGGAAGGATCACCATTAAAATTTTCGATGAATGGCGCAAGCATTTGATGTTTTTAGTTAGTTAGATATTGATATACAAATTTTTAACCACACAAAATTAGTAAGATTAATTCGTGATCCTTTTAAGAAGGAAAGGATTTTAATAGTGATCGGCGGGGCGCATATCAACATTTTATAATAAAA